GGGAAACAGATTTTGCACGTTTGGGGTATTTGAATCGTCTTCAAGCGGCACGTAGGGCAACTTGATCGGACAGGGAAACGAATTTTTTGTATGTTCCTGCAGTTCTTATGACTGACGGCCTTTAGGTGGCTCAGTAGCGTGCTTTTCGGAGAGGGATCTCCTTTTGTAGTAAAGCTTCATATTCCTTTGTCGAAAAGTTTCTGTCAAAGTTCTTAGACGACTGATTTCGTTACTGTCGGAATTAATTCTGAGAAAAGTGTTTTTTAGTAGATACACATAATTGTTATGAATGTTAATTGTTATGGGTGTATTTCTATTTCCAAAATGGTAGGTGTTCTGCTACTTACTTAACGGTTTTTCATGGGACTTGTTGAGAAGAACTGGAAGAGCAAGTTATCTTTGAGAGGGTAGAAAAGTGGGGGCTTTTTTATCTACCAGTCCAAAGCGCCGCGAAGCGGCGCTTTGGACTGGCTGTGTGTGTATGTGTGAAGTGGGTTGTGATTAAAAGCTAAGAATTTTGGAAATTTTTATCGAACCTTTTCCTCGCTAAAAGTATGGCACAGTTTCAGTGACGACCTCAAAGGTTATCAATTCATGAATTTTACCTGCGTTAGAATTTCGAGAATTTTTTCATCAAAAGTGGCAACAGAATTATGATTGTCTCCCTCCCAACTTCTTCTAGCCGCATCGCTCCTTCCTTTGCTCTACGGATACCCGTTGTACAAGGTTTTGCTATCCAAATAGCTTTTGCTATCTTCCCACTCGCGGCTCTGTTGCCCACACTGAATGGTCTCCCAAGCTGCCTTAGATCCTCCACTCCCCCAAAAGCTCTTGCTCAGACTACTCTTATCTCTTTCCGAAAGTAAATGAGAAATTTCAAACTTAACTTTCTTGAAAATAATTAGCAAACATTCAAACTACCAATTAAAGATTTTAAATTCAAACACTTCAGGCTCTTTTTTTCACAAAGTATCCTTTTTGGAAGCATCACAATATCTCTTCCACTTCAAGAAATTTTACCAAACTCTCGATCGCGTTTCATAAGGGCTTCCAAACTGTCCAGCATCCTTGCAAATCATCCATAAGTGTTCCAAAATCTACTCAATTCTCAGGCTAACTGATTGTTAGCAAGCTACTGATTTCAATTCTTGAAGGGATCTACTCAAAGGTATTTATGCTTTTAGCTGCTCTCCTAAACCTCCACTCCTTATACAATTTTGAGGCTGTGCGATATTCGCAATTGAGGTGCATATAACACATAAAAGCTGATCTGGATAGACTGTTTTGAGCTTTTTCGAATATGTATTAGCAGAGAACTTTGAACAGACCCACAAAATTAGTACAATAACATGTGAGATCTTTAATAGGCGCGAATTTTCCAGATATTTGAGGGGCATAGTGATTAATTATGATGGAGTAAAATGCACTCTTCGACACGTTTTGAGTGTCTTTCTGAACACCTCTTGAATGGCATGTTACAATTTTCAGAGATGCTAAACATCTGGCTTAAGAATTTGTATTAACCACTGATCTCTTGCACAGAGTCAACAATATTTTTTAAGAAAACAAAGTGACGCACTTTCAACAGTGTTGCACGATCAAAACTGTACTTAAATTACAGAATAAAGTTGCTTTCGAGTGAGCAGATCAATGTCGGCAATATTGAGAAGTAAAGTAATTGAGATTCTAAAGACTGCAACTGTTCTGCTGAAATGCCTGGCAATTTTTTTGAATGACATGGGCTTTTCAAATGAATCGCTTATTCAAATAAATCATTGACACAGATTGTCTGAGGAAATTAGAAATAGGCTGCGAGAAATTTTCAGAAACATGATGCACTTTGTCGAAGATAAGAATATTTACTAAGCATTTTATGAAAGAATTTGGAGATAAAATTTCTTGCTGTAATATGTTAGCAGAAAAATAAAGGGGCAGATTCAATTCATCGAACATGGATTTGGCCAACTGTTTTGGGGTGAGGAAACATATTAAGCACCTCAAGAAATGAATTATAGGAAACCGCAATATTTTGCTTTATCTGAATTTTTTCAAAAACTTGTGGTGCATTCCAATTGTGCGCTCCAGAGTAGACATAGATGAGCTTGAGATGTTAAAAAAAACAACCCAAATTAATCTTCCAGCAACAGTTTCGGCGGCACTTGTTGGAACAGAAAAAATGCTATTCATACAGTGCTGGACATAATTATAGGGACACTCTAGAAATCGTCGTAATTTTCATTCTTGTCAGTGAATCTGTCTGAAACTTTGCTGTGTGGTGCGCATGTAAGCCTACCATAACTCCTCAGAACGGCTTCCAATCCCGTTGATTTCGAACGGAGAAAAATGGAAAAACTTGTTTTGCAGGCTGGTCTTAATTATAAGGACACCTGGCCTTTTTAAGCATTATCGCATTCCTTGACTGACAAATTTTTTTGTAGAGTTACATCCCAGAATATGAAACTTTTGCGGCACCGAGGACTTGTCATGCTACTCAAGGAAAAATGATCCTTGCATTTTTCGTTTCCAAAGGCATCAGAAGTCAAACTGCTTCAGTAAACAACTGGTTTGAAGAGTTTTCAAGCCCTTGTTCATTTCAAATGATAATCATGGAGTCTACTGATCCTTCTGGACAGATGAGGTGAAGAGCGCTTTCGTAAACTCTGCGTAATCGCTGATTTTGACGGACAGACTTCAACCTCACCATAGGGTTGTCGCGCTTTTGCACCACAAAACTCACTTTCCAATGGTCGTGAAGTGATGGACTCGATTCATTACATTGTCTACGTGGAGATGCATCTTCTGCAACAACTTTTAGATTTTTTCTAGTGCTGCAGTTGCCATTTAGATCTGAAATACTTCCAACGAAAATTCTATGCGAGCAGTAGATTCAACATAATCACAAATCTCACTATTTTATTCTCTGTTTCATGTCGCATTTTGCGCGGTAGCTGAGATTAGCAAGATTTTGAAGTTTCAAGTGGTCTCCTGTTCGATTTCTTGATTTGAGTTGGATATGATTGTGCAGGGTGCTCGACTCAACTCTCAACGGATGACAACTGCGGCTGAACCAGAATGTGCAACCCCGAAATTTTTTCCTGACTAGGCACACAAGTTTATTGTTGTACGTGTATTGTTGCGGCTACATTGCAGCGTTTTCTGTAACTTGAAAATCAAGTTTTGTGGTGCAAAAGCGCGACAACCCTATGGTGAGGTTGAAGTCTGTCCGTCAAAATCAGCGATTACGCAGAGTTTACGAAAGCGCTGTTCACCTCATCTATCCAGAAGGATCAGTAGACTCCATGATTATCATTTGAAATGAACAAGAGCTTGGAAACTCTTCAAACCAGTTGTTTACTGAAGCAGTTTGACTTCTGATGCCTTTGGAAACGAAAAATGCAAGGATCATCTTTCCTTGAGTAGCATGACCGGTCCTAGGTGCTGCAAAAGTTTCATATTCCGGGATGTAACTCTACAAAAAAATTTGGGAGTCAAGGAATGCGATAATGTTTAAAAAGGCCAGGTGTCCTTATAATTATGTCCAGCTTGCAAAACAGGCTTTTTCGAATTTTTCCATTTTTCTCCGTTCGAAATCAACGGGATTGGAAGCCGTTCTGAGGAGTTATGGTAGGCTTACATGCGTACCATACAGCAAAGTTTCAGACAGATTCACTGACAAGAATGAAAATTACGACGATTTCTAGAGTGTCCCTATAATTATGTCCAGCACTGTATAATAGTCCTCAAGGAGTTCTGCTTAAACCAAAAGATTGAAAAACAAACTTTCTAAAAACGTATTTGATGCACTTTTCTGTGCGAACTTAGCACAATTTCCTAAACAATCTGAACTATTAATCGTAAATCATTCTAATAAGGCGCTTTTTGCAAAGTTATTGTGGAACAAAAGAATGTGTAAATTTTCATTCAAGAAATTTTGTATCTAGATTTGCAATCTAGTAATGGTGAAGGAATATGGAGGTTTAAGAGAAATTGTGAACTAACTTGTTCCAACGTAATCAAATTCGAGTTGCTTTTGTAAAACGACTCGCTATACGAAAGATTAGCTTGTCTAGTGTGATTGCAATTTTTTGGTCGTGCCACTTGATCAACATCGTCTAAGACACGCATCACTACCATTGCGAGTCATCAGCTCGGTGCGCTTGCACCGGCACAAAACGACAGACATGTTGACACCTCTGGCGCGAGCGATGACGTCAGATGGGGGTGCTTTCGCTTTATAGTATGATGATATGTCTCTGTGAGAAGGGGAAATTTGCAGAAAGAGCGTGGTAAACGAGAGAAAAATAATATTCTCCATGCATGGTTGTAGCAGGAATTGCGAGAAATGCTAAATGATTTGTGGAGATTATCGCTTCTTCGAGCAGTTCTCTGTAGAATGCTTTTCGCAAAAATGTTCTTAGGAAAGGAATAGGAAATTTATTTTGAAATATTTATATTCACAATTAAGCCCTTATATTGCATCTGCCCCGACACACTTGCTAGCGACCCGTAGGGTCGCTAGTCCTTATTATACAAGTCAGGAAGAAAAGAAGTCTATCAGAAAGAGAGAAAAGCTGCATTGAATGACACCGTGGTTGCTCGCCGTTTATTGTTCTGAACGGATTGGGATGCCCAGATGGAATTGATAGCTTCAAAAAAATATTTTCAATTTTGAGAAGCCAGCTAGAAATGTCAAAAAATGTATTGCATTGTGGTTTGTTTGTTCTATCCAACTGCTATCAAAGCTAATCCAAAAGTTGAAAATAAAATTTTTAGAAAGTAGCCAAATTCATGATGGGTAAAAACCATGGATTGGAGATTTTGACGATTATTTGAGCGGACGTCAAAGAAATCCGAACAAAAACCGTTAAAACCGTTAAAAAGAGGGAGAAACTTTGTATCGAACTTTTTAGCGTTTGTCTACCATTATTCTACGTGCTTTGAGCATGGGGCTGAAAAAAGGCACGAAGTTTCGGTCCGACCTAATAGTTAGCTTTTTTAAGGTCACCCATTTCCATCCCATGTGGCCACCAACAGATCCGGCTATTCAGTGCCCTAAGCACTGGTTTGAGAATGTGCTGTTCATCAACAGCCTTTTCAATAATAGATGCATGCCATGGACTTGGTAAGTATTAGATCAAATCTACCTACCTTTTCACATATTCAGGAAGTAAATAGTACGAATAACCAATTTAGGTACATCGGTACAGAGTTTCTTTACTATTTGGTTGCACCAATCTTTTTGTTGTCTTTAAGACAAGCGCCAAAACTTGGAATGGTGAGCGGAAAACACATTTTACCTTAATTTCAACGAAAAATGTTTTCAGGGCTTATGTATTTTCACTATTCTTTTCTCCGCTGGGCTGAATACTGTGAAGCAAATAGAAAGCAATTTTCCACCAACGCAGTTCCTCTGGAAACAACCAGAAATTTTTAATCCAAACTTCATCCAGGTACTAAAAAATGTTTAACAGATATCTCATGAAATATGAAAATACATTCCAGCACCATATCGAACTGTACATAAAACCCCAGTATCGAATAGGACCGTATATCATCGGAATTATCCTGGGTTATTATCTTGCTAATTATCAAAGAATAGCAGTTAAGCCAGCACGAAGCGCTAAATTCCAAGGTAAGTAAGTTTTGTGGCGTCCGTGCTGAAGAAAATAAACGATTTTATTTTAGTTATTGGATGGTCGATTGGATTCCTGTGCGGGTTCTGGGGCCTTTTCGGCCTTTATCCCTCTCTGCAGGGCTGGAACTGGCCGATTTATCATCTTGTATATGGATCTATCCATAGGTAAGGGCTGGACTTTTTGATGGAACTAAAGCGTAAAAGCATGACTGCAGGGACATGTTTGCTATCGGTATCGCCTGGCTGATCTATGCTTGCCATACTGGTATTGGTGGAATAATCAACAGTATCCTTAGCGCAAAAGTTTTGCTTCCTCTTTCCAATCTCTGCTATTCGGTAATCATTGTTTATTACTTTCGTGCGTCCAGACTTCCTCATGTGCTAGTGCGCCGGCACCATACCTGCTTGTGCTAACGCCCTGCCGTGTCGCAATCAATCTGAATGTTTCGCTTATTGACTAATGGACGTTCCGGCGCGACGCTGGCACGGGCAACTCTGGACGCAACCCTGATAACGCTACTGATTCGACAATTTTTATAATTTTCCAGGTGTACCTATTCCACATGATCCCTGTCGTTTTCACCTACCTACTCGTTCCATTCCCGATATGGTACGAATCCAAGGTGCCGCTTTTCGCGCACTGCATGGTGCAATTGGCGATCTCGTATGTCTTCGCCATGATCTGCACCCTGGTGGCCGAGTATCCAGCTCACAACATCGAGGCAATTCTGCTGCAGCCTCGGCAGAAGAAGACTACGCTTAAGACGGTGCCGACGTCGAACTCGGAGCTCCAACTGAAAGGGGTTCCAAATTTGTGATTGTGCGCTCGTTGGGCGGTTACTGGTCCATGAAAACTGTGTTACGGTATGGAGGCTACCATAGCATCATATTCGATTCATTCTAGTAACAAAAGATTATCTTAAGAATTGTCTACTCCGTGGTTGGAATATGACACTAATATGTGTGCGTTTGTATTGTAGTGAATGGTCTCATCGCCACTTGTGCGTTTACCTCGTTTCAAACGTTGATGTTGTTTCTAGAATTTTGCTTTATTAGACGCGACCTTGTGGACGTAAGCACGTGAAAAAAGAGATTTTTAGAAGCTGAATAACCGCGCGTTTCGCAGTCGCTCAGGGCTGGCTCAGTCTTCAAACAAGAGAAGAAGTACAGCTCTTACTACCTCAGCAAGAGTGTGTTTAGCCGAAGCGATTCCATCTCACGGGCATCATCGTCCATTGTTCAGAAATTTCGTACCTGTGCTCAGATTGTCTTTCACTACCAGATGTGTTCACTTTTATTGCTAATATCGATCATTACAGCAGTTTCTGTTTATAACAATAAATGTACAAAGATCGAAAGTAGTCACTACCATGTTAGAATTATTTCCGAAAAAACGACGAGTAGTCAAGTGTTGGTTACTTTGCAGAAAGGGGAGCACATGGAATTGGAAGGCGCCCTTTCTGCACCACTCGCTAAGCAATTAGTGCGCGCCTGTGACTGATCAGTGCTGCGGTCGGAGTTGCGAGAGAGCAGGAATGACTTAGAGGCTCAGACGCGCAGAATTGGACGAGTCGTACATTCTCGCAGAAAGACGGCTGCAAAAAACGGTGTTTTTCTGTTATTTGGAAGCATTCAAAATGTGCCCACGAAACACGCTTTAGCCTAGAAAATTTTGGAATGACTCTCTGCCATGTATCAGATCAAAAATTGACACATTTGGGCTCAGTCTGGCAAGCTACTTTCCAGTCAATTCCGGTATGGTACAAGAGCATTTGAAATGACTCAAAAGCTGTTCAGGTTATTCATAAGAGCAAAACAATCCAAAACGTTTACCTGAAACATTTTGGTTGTTTTTGATTCTTCAAATAGTTCCCGCCATGCGAGGTCAGAAAGGAGCATGAATAATGGCGCAGATTACTTGCTGTTGCTTGTTTCGCCGCCTACATGTTGGAGTAATAGCCCATAATAGCCCACTTCTCTGCTTTGGGAAAATATAATGTGTTCGTGAACACAATATGTTACTATTATGATATTATCATTTCTGAAAATGTCGATTGAAAATAGGGTCATTGTTGATTACGAAACTTCTTTGTAGTATAATAATTGGCAACACTTACAACTATCAGCTACAAGTGTACTTTGTCAAGCTGTAATCCTTCAAGTCATGCTCTTGCTTGCAAATGAGAATGAAGGTTTAAAAATTTTTAATGATACTTCTGAAGACAGAAGGTATAATCTACCTCAATCCTAAACAGGCCAAAATTGGGACGGCGGGAGTTTGCGTCGCGAGGGTTTCGCGCCACTTCTGCGGCTAGCTAGTCTGCTCTCTCCTAAATATCTTCGCTCTCTGCGACAGCGCGCTATGCAGCGCAAACCGCTAGCGCTGCGAGCGCGCAAATTCAGCCGACGGTTCGGCCTGATCCCGATTGAGGCAGACTATATGTAGTCGAAAACATTGACTGTGAAAACCAAATTCTACTCCTGCAGTATTCGATTTTTGTCGAGATTTCTAGATCTTCCACCTTGTACGAGCCGCTAAGCTCAAACAGAAATCCCAAATCCAAAAGGTCACTCGGAATTGAAAAAATATTGAGGTCGTAGAAAATATGTGCAGAAGTCTAATATAGCCTTCACTAGAGGTGGTATGTATCAATCTCCCGTTCGGGGAAATGTTTCCGTACAGGCCCATGATGCGCGAATGTGGGCGCCTGACCATTGCAGGAGCCCATTCAGGCAAAATCGGGTAGTTAGCAAAGACTGATCATCTCCACAATCTCGCTTGAATATAAATTGTGTGAATAGCGCATCTCTTTGATTAGGTGGCCGAGAACATTAGTAAATCGAACGATTCAATTACTAGTCAACAAATAAGATTTAATTGTTATGTTGCAAGAGATTTGTCTGATTTGAGGTTTAACTCGTTTTAATTATGGATTTTACAAGATTCAGAGCCCTATCTCTCCATTCCGGTCTCTGAATCTCTTTTGAATCTCAAGATCAAACTAAATCTTATTACAGAGAAATCTTTCTCAAGAAAACATTTACCAAATCTTACTCGTTGAGTAGTGAATAAAGTGTTCATAGTGACTTTTCGGCCACCTAATCAAAGGGATGCGCTATTATTTCACACAACTTGTAGTCGAGCGAGATCGGGTAGATGACCAGGTTTTGCAGACTACCCGATACTGCCTGACCGGGCTCTTGCACGATCAGGTGCCCACGTTCGCGCATCTTGGGTATGGGCGGCCATATCTGACTGGATTACGGCCTGTACGGGGACACCGAACGGGAGATTGAAGCACACCGCCTTAGAGGCGATAATTATTAACCTCCTATGTAAGAAGGGGTTCCTGCACAGGTAACAGAAGGTATAGGCTCGAGCACTGGCGACCGAGCTCCTGTCTATAGTAGCTTGTGGTCCGATCTGGCAAGTTTGCCCCTAACGAGCACGGTAGTCGGGCGCGGCAGTCGGGCAGCGGAGCTGGAACCGTTAAGATGTTTGACACCTAGTTGAAGAGATGCGCTGTTTCACACAATTTGCAGTCAAGTGAGAACGGATAGCTGGCGAGGCTTTGCGGACCACCCGGTTCTGCCTGAATGGGCTCTTGCACGGTCAGGTGCCCACGTTCGCGCATCATGGGCCTTGAGCGCCCACGTCTGACTGGATTACGACCTGTACGGGAACTCTTACCCAAACAGGAGATTGATACATACCACCCCTAGTGGAGCTATAACAGCTTCTGCACATATTTTCTACGACGACCTCAATGTTTCCTTCGATTCCGATGGACCCTATGGATTCGAAATGGACCCTAGCCACTCGTACGAGGTGGAAGATCTAGAAATCTCGACAAAAATCGAATACTGCAGGAATAGAATTTGGTTTTTACAGTCAATGTTTTCGTAGAGACTACAAATCTTTCTGCCTTCAAAAGTGCCATTAAGGATTGCTAAACTTTTATTCTCATTTGCAAGCAAGACCGTAACTTGAAAAATACAGCTAGACAAAGTACACCTGTAGCTTATAATTATAAGTGCTGTTAATTACATGTGGGTATTGCAGAGCAAATTAGAGCACTTTTTCAAACATTACAGTGAAGTACTTCAGTTTGTCGAGAGAATTCAAATAGTTTTCAAAGTTTCGTATAAAATTCAAAGTTCTTTTTGGTACTTTCGTTATAGGACCTTTTTTTCAGAACAAAAATATCGCTTCTTTCCTTGCGCCAAATTTAGTGGACTTCACAAGAAGAGGTGCTAACCTGGTGCATCCCCCAGAATTGTTCCCATATGAACCATCAACGTGGCTGTATTTCGATCATTTTAACATATCAACTTCAAATAACGTCTTCAGCTTGCTGGAGTTAACGTGTTTGAACGATCGAAAGGCAGCCACGTTGATAGAGAACAGTTTCTGGGGAAGCACGAAACAACCTGCTTCGTGATCAATAATAACACTGTTTTTGCTCAACATTTTCAGGAAAGGACATTAACATAATAACATCTTGCGTTTAATGAACACATTAGGCTTCCCAAAGACAGATAACTGGGATACGGCCCCACCATTTAGATGGTGGGGCCGTATCCCAGTCCTGCTTATAAGCGGCGAAACAAGCGACAGCCAGGTACTTCAAGTCATCATCTATCATTCATTCTCTAACAATAAGAGACGCGAGCACGCTTTGCGTACGCTTGACAAGTTTATGAATGAGTTCTAACGCTTTGATTAACTATCAAAAATTCGTGAAAGAACATGTTCAAGCCAGCGTGAATTAATGAGCTCAAACATCTTCTTCCACGAATTCTAATAGTAAATATCACAAGTTCAAACTCATTTTAACGAACTTGGTAGTGCAATGTACGCAAAGCGTGCTAGCGTCTCTTAGGCCCGTATGCACGAGCATCCCCGCTGGGGAGGGAAGGGGAGCTGGATCCCCAGGGGAACGGTCCCCTTCACTGAAACCCGCTATGGCAGAGGGGAGGGGAACGATCCCCTCCTCTGCACCTATAGCAGGATGGTGTGATTGCGCTAGTCGCTTCTACCCAAGGCTACTGCAATACCTCTCAAAAAAGTTGTTTTTGGTCAATTTTTGTGCACCAGAATGGCTTTTGTAACGAAATGTACAATTATACTAACTTCGCGTGCCTTCGTCCCTTTTTCACACTTCTCCATTCACCCTTTCCAGTACATCTCTCTCCTTCGCTCTTTTTTTCCATATCACTGGTTCTACGGCTACGTGCTGTCAGTAGTGATAATGATGATTTTTGATGTGGTGTGAGTCTATATAGCAGTCTATGAAATGATTTCCTCGCAATCATACTATGGCTGCACTTTTCCTATATAAAAAATTCGTGTGTGTGCAGCTTTTTGTAGTTTTTCTGATTTTTTGCAACGTTCACCAGTGCGATGCACTTTCGCTGCCTCAGATTCTGTACTTCATTTCAGAGGTATCGATCGGACGAACCCCGGTAGGGATCCCTTCCCCGTATGCACGAATGTAGCTCGACGACGCGGGGGAGGGGAACGACATCCCTTACAATGAAGTAGGGGTTCGATAGTGTAGATCATGCCAGACAGTGAATACTTTGGTTTCAATCGGATATTACAATGCCTTTCGTTTCACTTGATGAAAAGATTTTCTTCGAAAGCTGGGTTCCTCTCTCGGCGACCTGCAGCTTGCAATTTTATCTCCCTCTATATTCGCTTCCTGAAAAGACTCGAGCATATACTGGCTGCCAATTTCGAATATTCGTAGGAGCTCTTGACCATTCATGAAAATTGCGCATTCTTTATATGACATGATAATTTTAGCCATATAGGCCAATTAAACACATTGTAACTTTAATATTTCATGACATGTTGCCTTTTCTTGTTATTTCAACACCAGCGCGTCACCTCCGCTTCGCGGAAGTTCGCACTGGCTCTCCTATCCGTATACCTTTCTCATGTTCGCATGAGAATGAGCTTCAAACTCACCACGCAATGCTGAATCACGAATGATTCGTAAACAACTGTTCATTCCTGAAGCATCTCCATGTAAGATCGCTAATTTTGAGAAAAAAGACTTTTTTTGCAAGGAAACAAATGCTATTTTGAACGGATTACTGAATTTATTTTAGATCGATAATCCACCTCCTCCGTCATGCTGGTTATTCTAGCGTTTTCATACGCAGAAGCATGACGGAGGAGGAGCGAAGGCGCGAGTTCGAGCTGCGCCAAAGTGCCCGTGAGAGAAATAAAGGAAAAGCGAGCAAGGAATGGGTAATTTACAAGAGTGAATTAGTGCGCGTTTCTGACCTGCCTAAGAGGAGATCGGAAAACGCGTAAAAGTGCATGGTGAGCGGCAAAA